TTGTATTTTATTCTATTTTCATCTTAGACTGTATTTTACCATCTAATAATAAAATACATTATTGTATTTTATTCTATTTTCATCTTACTGTATTTTACCGTCTAATAATAAAATACATTATTGTATTTTATTCTTTTTTCATCTCTGTATTTTATTCCAATTTCACTTTAAATTGTATTTTAGTCCAATTCCATTTTAAATTGCTTTTATCAAATTTCAGTCTTCATTTGTTTCTGGCACTCTGCCCTTTGATATGGCCCAAGGGCTAATCAATCAATCAATCAATAATCATAACTATTCATTTACTGACCATTCAAAGTTACGACGGTACTGAAAAAAGGCGACTCACGACTGTTTTTCACACTTAATGACCGTTGCAGCATCCCCGTGTCACGTGATCGAAATTCAGACGCATGGCGATGGGCTCCTATTTATGACAGCACGCAATCCCAATTTTGTGACCTTCTTACCAGGGAAGCCAAATTCCGTGTGATTTAATTTAACAACTGCAACGATTCACTTAACAACCTGGGCGTGGAAGGTTGCAAAACGAGGCAAAGCTCACTTAACCACTGTCTTGCTCAGCAGCAGAAATTTGGGTCGTAAGTGACGGCCTACCTGTATTTTAACAAAAGCAACGTTCGTCCTCCGAGGAAGGGAGGAGAATAATCTGAATAATTTCTCTCCGTCTTAAGCCAGACGTGAGGAAAGGGACCCGGAATGGGAAAAAGAATTCAAAGAGAGAATTAAGAAATCCCTTCGGATTAAATGCATCTGTTTAAAATAACTTTAGTTTTTTTTTCTCGTCCTTATGGCCACCGCCAGGCATTTTCCTTGCAGCCTTTTATGTCTTCAGAAGTCCACATCAAAGGGAGGGAAGACTTTGAACCGTTGGGGGGGGGGTTGTGGGCTGTTGGGTTGGCTGCCCCCCCCTGAATTCCAGGGGCTTTTAATAATTGTATTTTATTTTTATTTGATCGGAGAAGAGCTTTAACAAAGGGGGGTGGAGAAAAAACGAGGACAGGGAAGGGCAGGTGCTCAAAAGCAACACAGGAGATTCCCATCCTGGTCCTCCTTTTCATCAAACTAGACATACCCAGTTCCTGCAACCGTTCTTCCTATGTTTTAGCCTCCAGTCCCCTCATCATCCTCTTTGTGGCTCTTCTCTGCACTCTTTCTAGAGCCTCAACATCTTTTTTACATTGTGGCGACCAAAGCTGGTTGCCGTATTCCACGTGTGGCCTTACCAAGGCCTTATAAAGTGGTATTAACACTTCCCGGATCAACCTGCAGGGTTTGTTCTTAGTCCAAAATTGCAAACATCTTGAGAGTTAAGTTGGGCAGATTTGGAAAAGGGGAAGGGAAGGGGAGGGGAGGGAAGGAAGGAAAGAAGGAGGGAGGGAGGGAGGGAGGGAGGAAAGAAGGAAGGTTTCAAACTGAAGGCTGCTCCAGGGATATCCCCAAATCTCTTCATCCAATTGCATTGAAGAATTGATTTTGAAAAATCAGCCAATTTGCAAACAGCCAACTGGGCGCTTTCTCGGGGAACACGGGGGGGGGGGCGGGAGGAATGGGGGGATGGACATGGGATGGATGAAGCTCAAAACCCTGCTGGGTCCCCTTCCGAACGCAGAAAGCCCCTCCCACTCCTGCCTGCTTGGGAATGGCCCCTGGGAGTTGCCTAACATCAGAACTGCCTATCAGAACTGCAGCCTTTCTCCCTCTCCCTCCCTCTCTCTCTCTCCCTCCCCCTCCCTGCCTCCCTCTCTCTCCCTCTCTCCCTCCCTCTCTCCCTCCCTCTCCCTCCCTCTCTCTCCCTCCCTCCCCCACCCTGCCTCCCTCCTCCCCTCTCTCTCCCTGCCTCCCCCTCCCTCTTTCCCTCCCTCCCTCTCTCTCTCTCCCTCTCTCTCCCTCCCCCTCCCTCCCTGCTTCCCTCTCTCTCCGTCTCTCCCTCCCTCTCTCTCTCCCTCCCTCTCCCTCTCTCTCCCTGCCTCCCCCACCCTGCCTCCCTCCCTCTTTCCCTCCCTCCCTCTCCCTCCCTCTCTCTCTTTCCCTCCCTCCCTCCCCCACCCTGCCTCCCTGCCTCCACTGGTTAATTGTCCTCACTGTCAGGAAGTTTCTCCTTAGTTCTAAGTTGCTTCTTTATTTTGGATTAGTTTCCATCCATTGCTTCTTATCTTCCCTTCTGCCGCTTTGGAAAATAAATTGTCCCCCTTTTCTTTCAGGCAGCCCCTCAAATACTGGAATCCTGCTATTATGTGCCCCCCTGGTCCTTCTTTTCTCTAGACTAGATATACGTAATTCCTGCCTATTTTTCATATTTTAGCCTCCAGGCCTTTGATCCCCTTAGTTGCTCTTCTCTGCACTTTTTCCAAAGTCTCAACATCTTTTTTTGTAACGTGGTGACCACGTTACAATTTGTAATGTGGTGTACATTTGTACATTTGTAATGTGGTGACCAAAAGCCTTGGTAGTACAGTGGTCTAAAGCACCCTGTTATTAAGACCAGCTGCCTGCAATTACTGCAGGTTCGAATCTCGGCAAGGCTCAAGGTTGACTCAGCCTTCCATCCTTTCTAAGGTAGGTAAAATGAGGACCCGGATTGTGGGGGCAATAAGCTGATTTTGTATATAAAAAAGAACACCGCTTTGGGTGGGGGCCGAAAGCCCTACTAAGCAAGTATATACAAAAGAATGAAGGCTATTGCTTAATGCATTGTAAGCCGCCCTGAGTCTCCAGAGAAGGGCGGCATATAAATCAAATTTTAAAAAAAAAGAAAAGAAAGAGAAAGAGAAGGAAGGAAGGAAGGAAAGAAAGAAAAAAAGAAAGAAAGAAGGAAAGAAAGAAAGAAAGAGAAGCTGACTTTGTATAAATATACAAAAAGGATGAAGGCTATTGCTTAACGCATTGTGAGCCGCCCTGAGTCTCCGGAGAAGGGCGGCATATAAATCAAATTTAAAAAAAAAAAGAAAAGAAAGAGAAAGAGAAAGAAGGAAGGAAGGAAAGAAAGAAAAAAAGAAAGAAAGAAGGAAAGAAAGAAAGAAAGAGAAGCTGACTTTGTATAAATATACAAAAGGATGAAGGCTATTGCTTAACGCATTGTAAGCCGCCCTGAGTCTCCGGAGAAAGGCGGCATATAAATCAAATTAAAAAAAAAAAAAAAACTGGATGCAGTTATTCCCTGGGTGGCCTTACTAAAGGCTTTATAAAGCAGTATTACTATTGGGGATTAATGGGGGAATTAGAAAAAAAAAAAAAGAATAGAGATTATTATAGAATAGAGGGAAGTGGTGGCTCAGTGGCTAAGACACTGAGCTTGTCCATCAGAAAAGTCGGCAGCTCAGCGGTTCGAATCCCGAGTGCCGCGTAACGGGGTGAGCTCCCGTGACTTGTCCCAGCTTCTGCCAACCCAGCAGTTCGAAAGCACGTAAAAAATGCAAGTAGAAAAATAGGAACCACCTTTGGTGGGAAGGGAAGAGCGTTGCGTGCGCCTTTGGCGTTGAGTCATGCCGGCCACAGGACCACGGAGACGTCTCCGGACAGCGCTGGCTCTTCGGCTTTGAAACGGAGATGAGCAGCGCCCCCTAGAGTCGGGAACGACTAGCACTTATGTGCAAGGGAAACTTTTCCCTTTATAACCTCATGCAATCTTGGGAGTGATTTTTTTTTTTTTTAAAAAGAGATTTATTTCACTTTGAGGCCTCTCAACAGCCAATTCCCACTTTGGATAAAAGACAGGACCGGATTCCGTTTGCTTTGGCTGCTATATAAAGACCAAAAAACATGATTTATTTCTTCTTCTTTTTTGGAGATTGCAAAAACTGCGGAGGGGGCTATTAAAGGAGATCTCTTTGCTTTGAGCCCAGATTCTTTTGGGGAACGGGACTGTGGAGGGTCAGTCAGGTGTAGGGTTTCCTCCCTGAGCAGGGGGTTGGACTAGAAGACCTCCAGGGTCCCTTCAAACTCTGCTATTCTACTCTACTCTACTCTACTTCTACTCTACTCTACTCTACTCTACTCTACTTCTACTTCTACTTCTACTCTACTCTACTTCTACTCTACTCTACTTCTACTTCTACTTCTACTCTACTCTACTCTACTTCTACTCTACTCTACTTCTACTTCTCTACTCTACTCTACTTCTACTCTACTCTACTCTACTTCTACTCTACTTCTACTCTACTCTACTCTACTTCTACTTCTACTCTACTTCTTCTCTACTCTACTCTACTTCTACTCTGCTCTGCTCTACTCTACTCTACTCTACTTCTACTCTACTCTACTCTACTCTACTCTACTCTACTCTACTTCTACTCTACTCTACTCATATTCCATTCCATTCCATTCCATTCCATTCTCTGTTCTGTTCTGTTCCATTCCGTTCCATTCCGTTCCGTTCTGTTCTGTTCTGTTCTGTTCATTCCTTGGCCTGGGGTCTTTGGGGTAGCTGTTCCAGGCCTGCCACTCACCCCAACCTGCCAACTGTGTTCCCATCAGTTTGCATTCCACCACAAAGCCCCCCACCCCTGCCCCGGGTGGGAACACTCCCCCCCAATTCTCCAGCTGTACAGCTTTGCCAAGCCAGCCCCCCCCCCAGCAAGGGGGGTCCACACACAGACCCCCCCTCCTTCCCCTCGCCTCTCCCCCCTCCTGTCCAAAGACAAAGGCCATTGTTCCAGCTTGACCCCCCCCTCCCCAATTCCTTCTGTTTCTAATTCTTCTTTCTTCTGTAATGAGGGGATTACAAGGGAAGACTCTTTTGTGCAGGAGACAGTTGAGGGGGAGGTTTGGGGGGGGGAGAGGAAGGGAGCAGCCCCAACCCAGCCCGGACCTTCTGCTGGCTGCTGAACCCAGGGGTGGGTGTAGGGAGAGGCTCATTTAGTGCAATTACTTTGCCTGGCGCAGTGGCTGTCAATCACTCTTAAAAAAGATGGGGGGGGGGGGGGAAGGCCACCAATTAATCAGCCCGTCTTAATCCTGGGACTCCTTGTTGAGCTGTGAGTCTCTGCGGACAGCTGCGAGACCCGAAGCAGCCTCGGGGGCGTCCAGCCAGCCGGGAGACCCGCAGAGACCCCCCAAAAAACCCCCCAACCAAAGAGAAAGAAAAGTCCACCTGTCCAGGTCTCCAACCAGGTAACACCATGGCTTGCCTTTCTTAGCTTGGGGAGGGTCGGGTTTGCAAAGGATGGTCTTTTGGGAAAGAAACCCCCCTCCCGCCCCACTTCCCTGCCCTGATTCCCACGAGGGGACCAGGATGCCTAAATGCGTGGAAAAGTTGGTTACTCTCCAGCAAGGAGACCTGTTTTGAACTCAGGTGGAGCTACAAACTCAGGTGCTTGAAAAGGGGCAGGTGGTTTTAGCCTGGAGACTAAAAACACTGCAAAGAAGGGTTGGATGAAGAATTGGGTATGGCCAATCTAGAGAAAAGGAGGTCTGGGAGGTGTTTTGGGGGGGGGACATCTGATACCAGCCTTCCATTATTTGAGGGGGCTGCCCCAAAGAAGAAGAAGAGGGGGGTCAACCTATTCTCCAAAGCACCAGAAGGCAGGACGAGAAGCAACGGATGGAAAGGAATCAAAGAGAGAAGCAACCTGCAACTAAGGAGAAACTATCTAATAGTGAGGACAATTAATCCGTGGAACGACTTGTCTTCAGAAACTGTGCGTTGGAGGTTTTTAAGGAGAGATTGGGGAGCCATTTGTCCGCTCTTTTCTATCCTAATAGAACAATATAATATTTACGAGACCGCCTTCTGCCACCGATAGCCTCCCATCGACCGGTACGCTCCCACAGAGAGGGGCTCCTCCGGGTGCCGTCGGCTAGGCAATGTCAGCTGACGACCCCCAGGGGGAGGGCCTTCTCTGTGGGGGCCCCTACCCTCTGGAATGAGCTGCCCCCGGAGATTCGTAGGATTCACGGCCTTCGTACCTTTCGTCGCGCCCTAAAAGCATTATTATTCCAACAAGCAGGCCTGGCCTAAATAATAATAACATTTTACTATTTTAAATGGGTTGTTTTATTAGACTTTTTTTGGCCAATTTATTTGTCAGGGTTTTATTTTTGGCTGTACACCGCCCTGAGTCCTTCGGGAGAAGGGCGGTATAGAAATTCAATAAAAGAAAGAAAGAAAGAAAGAAAGAAAGAAAGAAAGAAAGAAAGAAAGAAAGAAAGAAAGAAAGAAAGAAAGAAAGAAAGAAAGAAAGAAAGAAAGAAAGAAAGAAAGAATAGGGCACAGAGGCCTCCTTGGTAGGATGGTCTCTTCCTGTCAACAGTTTCAAGGGGGGGGGTCTTTTCCTGCCGCCCCCTCACTTTCCAAAGGGGTCCAAGTGCAGAGAAATTCAGGCCAGCTTCAGATAAATCCAAAGATCCCAAAACGCCGTTTCACTCCGATTTTCTCCAAAAAGGAATCTCACCGCTTACAAGTCAAGGGATGGGGAAATCTGCTTTTTTTTTTTTAATCCCCTGCTTTTTTTTGTTTGGGTTCTGCTTAAGCACCCCAGCATGTATGGGGGGGTGCTTATTTTATTTATTTATTTATTTATTTTGGTAGCCTGCCTCTTCTCTTGGCACTCAGCCTGTGTCATTTTTTTTTTAATTTTTTTTTAAAAATTTGATTTATATGCCGCCCTTCTCCGGAGACTCAGGGCGGCTTACAATGCGTTAAGCAATAGCCTTCATCCTTTTGTATATTTATACAAAGTCAGCTTATTGCCCCCACAAACTGGGTCCTCATTTTACCTACCTTAGAAAGGATGGAAGGCTGAGTCAACCTTGAGCCTTGGAGAGATTCGAACCAGCAGAAATTGCAGGCAGCTGTGTTAATAACAGGGTGCACTAAACCACTGTACTATCAAGGCTCTTTGGGACCATTTGAACGTTTTAGTCCCGCGGATGCGACGAAAATATCTTCGCTCCGGATCGACCTGTTCTTGGGATACCTAGGAAGGTAGGGCTTGGAAAGGAATCGGCCCCGGGGAGTGTATTGCCTGCCAAATTTGGGCTAAAATTCAAAAGTGGAATGAGTGGCTTTTTAAAAAATGAGGCAGCGGCCACTGAGAAAAAGGTAGGAGCTGTCCCCACTGAAGTCCAGAAGTGGAAAAAGAAGAGATCAGATATAAATCAGTTGAGATCCGTAAGCAGGGAACATCCCAGCCTTGACGTAGAAGATGTTGTCGTATTGTTACTGTCGTTGTGGTTGTTATTAATCGGCAACAACTGGGGTGTATTTTAAATGATTTCTGCCGTCCGCTTCCAATTTCGCTCGCATCGCGAGGGCCAAGAAGCTGTCCTTTAAATGGGTTTTTTGCAGAAAAGACAGACAGATGCTGGCTTCGTTTTCTGCAGATTTAGACTGGGGTTTTTTTTCTTCCCCTTTTCGCTTGGAAGCTTGCAGGATTAGTTTTTCCGTGAGAAAGAGGAAAAGGTCCTGGAGAAAGGAGGGCGAGACAGTTATTTGTTATTGTCACAGTTTGGAATTATGAATTTATTTATTTATTTATTTATTTATTTATTTATTTATTTATTTATTTATTTTATTCCATTTATATCCCGCCCTTCTCCAAGTGGACTCAGGGCGGTGCACAGCCAGAACTAAAACACATATCAATACAAAATTTAAAATGATGAAAAGAATTAAATAACTGTGGCCCCAAAATTTTAAACATTAAACATTGAAAACTAAAACCCCTTTGACAATTTAAAAAGCTAAAAAACTAAAAAAAAGAAAAATTTAAATTCTGTTGGGACATTACAGGAGTGGCCAAAATTGTGGAAACCTTTTGGGGAAAGTGTATTTTTGAGGTTTGATGGCTAATAACACCACTTCTTTTTTTTTTGGAGTTTCAAGAGAATCCTATTCCACTGCTGGAATAGCCTGGGAAGAGCCCAGACCTTCACCCCATGGAAAATCTACGGAGCCGACTAAAGAAACTTGTTAGTCAGCAATAAAACCCAGTTAATAGAAGCCATCATTCAATCTTGGTTTCACATTAGAACAGCTGCAGAACTCAAAGACTTGGTTCCCTCCATGGGAAGACGTTGTAAGGCTGTAATTCATGCTAAAGGTTACCCAACTAGGGATTAACTGACATGGGGATCATTTTTGTATATCTCCTTTTTTCTACGTGTTTCACTTTTCTTCTTTATACTGTCACTGCTATTCTAATAGCAAATCCTTCCTAAAGTTATGGCATTACATGCTTGATTAAATTATCTTTCCATTGATATATAATTTTATGGTGCTACTCCAAAAAAAAAAAGTGTGGTTATTATTAGCTAGTTTTAGAAAATACACTTTTCCCAAAAGGTTTCCACAATTTATGGCCACTACTGTAAATTTCCTAGAGGAAGTCGGTGGATGTATGGAAATCAGTCCTACACATAAAGATGCTTTGGTTTGCATTCTTGGATTGAGAACGGGGCTCGGCTGGATGACCGCAACTGCCCAAGATTCATAGCCAGGGCAAGAAAATATTTCAATAAATGAGATTATTTGTAGTTCGGGGTTGAAATGAGGGCTCCTTGGGGCTCTCTGAGGTTGGCGGTTTTCCTGCAGACCTTCCTTCTTTCTTTCTTTCTTTCTTTCTTTCTTTCTTTTTCTTTTTCTTTCTTTCTTTCTTTCTTTCTTTCTTTCTTTCTTTCTTTCTTTATTTATTTATTTATTTATTTATTTATTATGTCTTTAATTATCCCAGAGCTAAGTAACGTCATCTGTGCTGGTCAAGGAAATGTTTGTGGAAAATAGCAAGCAATTGTACTTTAATGGCATTTCTTGAGACGCCGCTGCTCATTTGCACCTTCATATAAGAAGTTTTTAACCGTTTCCTCCCAAAGGAAAAAAATGGGGTTAAGATCAGGGAGACGTGATCAAATGAGAATTAATGAGAGCCGATTCTTGGATGCATTTTTCGCTCATCATCTCCATGTTGGAGCTTGCAAAACCCTCGTTCAGTCTGCCTTGAATTTTATTCCGAAATCAAAGTTAACTCAGTAGACTCCACTCAGGCTGCGTTTTGAAGTCACCAAAGCTCAAATAGCTCCATCGTTTATAGAAAAGCAAACACAGGAACCCCTCGCTCTCCCACCCACCCACCTACCCCCTTCACCCCCATTTCCTCCTTCCCCACAGTGATGCTCAGGCTTCTTTGAAAATGCGTCCGCAGTGTGGTTGCGTTAGAACACGTCTCCTAATTTATTTATTTATTCATTTATTGGTTCGATTTATATGCCGCCCTTCTCTGGAGACTCAGGGCAGTTTACAATGCGTTAATTGTGTGTGTGTGTGTGTGTGTGGAGAGGGTTTTATAAAAAAAGGCCAGGGGGCCTTGGGGGGCTATGAAATGAGGAGGGTCCTGCCAGTAGGAAGGAGAAGGAGATGGACACCTTGCACCCAAAACCTCTTGGGGAAAGTGCTGCATTTTTCTGAAATCAGTGTTTCCTGAAATCAATATTTTCTGACATCAGTGTTTCCTGAAATCAGTGTTTCCTGAAATCAGTGTTTCTTGACATCAATATTTTCTGACATCAGTGTTTTCTGACATCAGTGTTTCCTGAAATCAGTGTTTCCTGACATCAATATTTTCTGAAATCAATATTTTCTGAAATCAGTATTTTCTGAATTCAGTGTTTCCTGAAATCAGTTTCCTGAAATCAATATTTTCTGACATCAGTGTTTTCTGAAATCAGTGTTTCCTGACATCAATATTTTCTGAAATCAGTGTTTCCTGAAATCAGTATTTCCTGAAACCAGTGTTTTCTGAAATCAGTGTGGCTGCAAAAATGCCACACTTACGAGATGAGGATGCAAAAAGTAGAGCAAATAAGACCCCTCCCAACCTGGGAAGCAGAAAGAGTGTTAGAAAGTGACTCAAGACTGTTGCGTCTTGATTTTGCTTGGTGTACGAACAGCAGAGAGAAACCTCAGCCGGCTTTCAAGCTCAGCTCTTCCATTAGAGGCAGTTTGGTCTAGTGGTTAAGGCACCAGAGATTGTAGGTTCACATCCCACCTTAGGCACGAAAGCTGGCTGGGTGATTTTGGACCAATCACCAGGAGATGGTGAGTTCTAGTCCTACCATCCTACCGTCCTACCGTCCTCGTGAAAGCTGGCTGGGTGACTTTGGATCATTCACCAGGA